TTGAGCATTTGCTACATGCCAGACCCTCTGCCAAGTACTTTGCATGCCTTTCCCATCTTGTTCTCACTATAATCGTAGGAGGTTATAGTGTTATCATTGACATTTTAAGACAAGGGAAGGGAGGCTCAGGGAGGTTAAGTAACTTGTGGAAGATCTCACAGATGTGTTGGGGTCTCATCAGGAAGCAGAACCTCTATGAGTGATACAGAAGATGGATTTACTGTGGGTATTGGACAGTAAGCATCACACAGGCTATTGCCTCTGCATCTGGGACTGAGCCCAAAGTCACTCTCAGAGAGCCTCCAGGGAAGGAAACCTGAACGTGGATGCCAGCAAGGGCAAAGTGGAAGCAGCATCTGTCTCCCACCTTCTCTGACCTGGGTGCCGTGGATGACCTCTAGGAGAAGCTGGTGAGCTTCACCACAGACTCACACACAGCCCGGCCCCACACTGGGAGATGCTGAAGGACGTCTGGAAGTTTCTGGAGAAGCCAGGTGTGGCCCCTGCCAATGAGCTGGGGTGGTGGATCAGGGTAGCCTGAGTAAGCTGCCACAGCCCTGCACTCACCCTGCACTCACCTCCGGAGCAGGGAAGACATGGACTTCCCCTTCTGCATCTCAGACATAGGGTCCGTTTGGGCCAATGCTAACTCAGAACCATTTGGAAATTCTGGGACGAACTGGTTCCAGCTCAGCTGAGGTGACATGGTGCCCAGGCAGTGCAGAGGCTAACAGGTCGGAGAGCCAGAGTCTGGACTTGCTTGTCTTATGCCAAAGTCCACAGTATATGATTTTCACTTCGTTTAGTCAGAGTGGGTGGGTAAGAGGTCGCACTTGATGGAGGTGTGGGGTCACACCCACAAATGTGATCTCAGGATGGTGAGATTCATATAAGGTGGGTTCATATAAGTGGGTGAAGTGATGGGGAAGGAGTGGGGAGCCGTGGAGATTGCAGCAAACTGAAGAGCACATGCTCTGTCGCAGTGGGGGCCACTCCCCAGCTCCAGTGCACCATCGCCATTTAGGAATGTGGGCATGGGATGGTCAGATAACCTGATTTTTTTCACTATAAACTGGAGATATTAACTTTGGAGTGTGTGTGTGCATGTGCATATATGAGAGATGGAGGGAGAGAAATCTGCCAGCTGAAAAGTGTTGGCAGGCAACGAATCTGAATTTTTTGTTGCTCTGGGCACCCAGTTTGTGACCTTTGACCCTAGTAACTTCTGGACTCCAGAAGATTCTCCCCAAGTTGCTGGATAAGCTCTTGAGCTGCCCACTCGAAGGCTCCCCATTTTCTGCACCCTGGTTCCAGCTCCCACACCAGGATGGTTCCTGGAGTCCAGTTACCTTCCTCTCTCCTTGTTTTTAGCCACTTCTCAATGGGGAAGATGTCCTGACCAGACTCAGCCAGATAGAGGGGTGTGCGATTGGCTTTGGGGCAAGGACTAGATTTCCTGTATCCACTCCTGGTGCTTGTAGCCCTTCTCCCCTGTGGCCACTGCTATGTGAGCACCTTTTTTTTCCCTTGCAATAAGGAGGACAGGTTTTATTCTCTAATATGGAAGCATTTTTATGTTTACATCTGCCATTCATCAATGCAAAAATGTACTCCTGTACTCGCTGTTTGGTGATGCGCTTTTCCATCTTATTGTCTGGCCTCTCCCACCTTCCTTCGTCCCTCTCCCTTCCAACTCATGCTTGCAAGCTAGAAGTATCCTTCCATGTTTCTCTGCGTTCCCAGGGAACCATCTGTACACATAACACACATGCACGAACGTGCACAGTACACTCTGTACTGTTAGAGGATTTTCTCGATCATTGTTTAGATTACCAAAACGAGGTATTATGTGTGCTGCTCTGCGTGCCACTTTTCTCTTTCTAGGCAGTGGAATTCCCTGGGTCTAGCTCAAATTCATCCCTCATATGGGCTCAGCCTAGCGTGTGCTGTGCTGTCATTCTGTCCATCGGTTCCTATGGGTGGACACTCAGCCCACGTATTAAGGTGCGCCAGGCTCTGCTACATGGAAGCCCAGGAACGGCAGCCCTGCTTGCCACCAGAGTTTATTTCTTGTTTTGTCCCAGGACAGTGTGGCCAGGAAGCCCTTGGGGTACAGGGCAGTGTTCTCCAAACAGGGACTCAGGGATCGGCCTCCTTCCATGGCCAAATGTGGGGTCTCAGCCGTCGAGGGCAAAAGCAGGGAGACAGAGGAGGGGGTTGCATGGCGGGCTTTATGGCCACACATCACTTTTCCCCCCTCAGCCCACCAGCCAGGACCTGGTCACGTGGTCCCAACCAAAATGCCAGGGAGGCTGGAAAACAAGGTCTTCCCTGCGTGCCAGTCTCTGCCATGCTTTGTTTCCAGGTGGTTGTTTTTTTTTTTTTCCATTACGAATAATAATTCAGCAAACGTCTTTTGTTATTTATCCTTAGGACATTTCTATCAGATTTCTAGGATAAGGATTGCTGGGTCAAAGGACATAGGTATCTCTTTTTTAATGCCAAATTTCAGTGTAACTCTGGATGTTTTAATTCTTGTAGCCGGCTCTCTTCCTAAAAAGATTGTAATAATTTACATTTTCACTAAAAACGTATGAAGGGAAAGTCACTTTTCCCCCAAATCCCTGCCAGCAATTGCGTTATTGTTCTTTTAAATTTGCCTCTGTGATATCTCATTGTCAGCTTAATTTGTATTTCCCCCGACCACTAATGAGTGTGAGCATCTTTTCATTTGTTTGTGGCCATTTGGCTTCATTCTTTTGTGAATTGCCTATTCATGTCCTTTGCCATAATTTCTTTTGGGTTGTTTGCCCTTTTCTCTTCAATTTGTAAGAGCTCTTTGTATATTATAGCTGGTGACCCTTTGTCCTCTGCATCTCAAATATTTTTCCAAATTTATTGTTTGTCTATTAACTTTGCTTATGGTATCTTTTGCCTTATAAGAGATTAATATTTTTATGTTGTCACATGTGTCTGTCTTTTTAATGTCTATATCCTGGGTTTGCATTCTTGGAAGGTCTCTCCTTACTCGGGTCCTTTAAAATACTGCTCACCCTTCATGGGCTGTGAACTGGAAGAGACTTCCCTCCTCCCCTCTCCTAGGAATTGCAACCACCCCTGCTACTTCTGGCCACATGAGTGCCAAGCGCTCAGACTTGATTCCTACAAAACTTTTCAGGCCTTTGGTAGCTGAGCAATCCAGGTCACACAGATGGAGGTCTGGGAGGGGCCTTGGGCTTGGAATCAGAGCCTGGCTACTCGAATTGGTTTCCAGTTGCCTGTATGGCCTTGGCTGAATCACTTGGCCTCTTTGGCCCTCAGTCACCCCACCTGTAATGTGGGGCATAACCCTTGCCCTGCTGACTTCCTAGAGTGCTGTGAATCTCAGGTAATAGAATGGAGCTGAGGACCCTATAGGCTTTGCAACCCAGATGTTGAGTTGCAATGATAATCCTGATGTGGGGAACAAAGGCAAAAGAAAAAATAAAATTTAGTTACAACTTAAGCCCATTGACAACTTCTTGAGACAGGAGGAGTGACCTTGCTCTAGGAACTCAACTTTCTTAATGTTAATACTTTGCTAAGGGCAAAAGGCAACCTTAGCTTAACATTAACCCGACTTCTAGGATCCTATAAGTCTCCTTTAACATACAGAACTTCCTTTGAAAACTTCTTTTATCTCTACCCCCCAAGATATATGTTAGTAATCATCCTCCAAGCATATGGCCCCCTGATACACATCTAAAGGGTTTCATGACTTGGGTTTTACTAGACAATAGTAAATGACCTTTTCCTAACAATAGCTAGACCCTCAAGGTCCTGGAAACCTTGCTTCCAAATTCCTTAGAGACACTATCCCTAACCCTCTTCCAACTTGAAAGTATATAATGGGCCACTCCTTATGACTCTGGAGCAGCTCTTTCTGCCCACAGGTCCTGTCCTCATGCTTTAATAAAACCATGTTTGGGGGAGAAGGGGCAGAGAGAGAGAGAGAATCTTAAGCAGCCTCCACACCCAGCAGGGAGCTTACAGGGCTGGATCTCACAACACTGAGATCATGACATGAGCTTAAATCAAGAATCAGATGCTTAACTGACTGAGCCACCTAGGTGCCCCAGTAAAACCACTTTTTTGCACCAACGACATCTCAAGAATTCTTTCTTGACCATTTGCTCCACATCAATGTGGTAGCTGACAATTTCTGAGTCTTGACAGTGAGCGACTTTACATACATTGTCTCATTTAATCTTCATGATAACCTTCTTTTGAGAAATAAAGAAACATAGAGTGGATAAGTTACATGCCCAAGATGCAGAGCAGGTAAGTTGAGAAGTAAAGATGCCAGGATTTGAGTCATTTCTAACTCTGGTGTGTGTGTGTGTGTGTGTGTGTGTGTCTGAGAGAGAGAGAGAGAGAGAGAGAGAGAGAGAGAGAGATAGGCTGGCAAGGAGAACTTGCAGAGCTTAAAGGTTAGTGTGAAAAGCATGGGAAATCTTATAAAACATTCTGGGTGTTTCCTGGGAGGGCCACCTTCCTGACACTGAGTTATTGAAACCTGTCAAAATGGACAAGGGTGGGCTCTAAGCAAGACTGGGGCCAGGCATGAGGCCTCTGATACAAAATTGTGCCAAGAGGAAGGGGGCAGGCCCAAAGGGCTGCTTGCCTGCTGAGGATGCAGAGAGCTAAGGTGCTGTGGGAGGCACTAAGTCCCCATGGGCTTGGGGCTCACGGGCTGAGGGTTTGGGCTTAGTGGGGCTCACCTTGGGCTGTAACCTAAATACCTGATGGGGGAGAGTCAGGTTGGCATGAATGTTGCTGCCCGTTTCCACAGACTCGAAATCCCTGTGTTGCAATGGCAGATGTCGTGATCACCTTCCACAGCCTGACACCTCTTTCTCTGCTAGTAGAACCCCAGTCAGGTGACCATGTCTTGAGAGGAGGCTGGCTATCTGCCCAAAATCTTGACTAAGCCAATTACAGTAATGCCTTTCTCCTGGCAGGGACCGGCCTGTGTTGCAATTCTGGTCACTGAAGCAGAAGTCATGGGAGGGGCCCTACTTGGCTTCTAAACTGAGGCTCAAGGTAAGGATTGTGAAAAAGAATAAAGGAAACCTCATTTAAAATGGAACTGGGGGGGGGGGGTGGATCCCTGGGTGGCTCAGCGGTTTAGCACATGCCTTTGGCCCAGGGCGCGATCCTGGAGTCCCGGGATTGAGTACCACGTCGGGCTCCCGGCATGGAGCCTGCTTCTCCCTCCTCCTGTGTCTCTGCCTTTCTCTCAATCTCTGTGTCTATCATGAATAAATAAATAAATAAATAAATAAATAAATAAATAAATAAATAAATAAATCTTAATAAATAAATAAATAAATAAAATAAAATGGAACTGGGAGGCCAGTAGGGGGAGCTCTCGTGTCTGCCATGCAGGCCATTTGCAGACTCAGCCCACCGAGAAGGACCCTGAAAGCCAAAATTGTTCTAGCTACTTCTTACTCTCCCAGCAGCAGGAAGAAAGGTTTCCTCTTCCCCTGACAACAGCCCAGCCAATGAGAGACTGCCACAGCTCAGCCAATGAAGAGCCACTAGACTTTGAACTCCCAGTTCACTCCAATAGACTTTTTGTTTATAATGATCCTCCCTACTTCCAACCCCCCTCTATTTAAAAATATTTTTATTTATTCATGAGAGACACAGAGAGAGATCGGCAGAGACACAGGCAGAGGGTGAAGCAGGCTCCATGCAGGAAGCCAAATGTGGGACTCGATTCTGGAACCCCGGGATCATGATCTGAGCCAAAGGCAGATGCTCAACCGCTGAACCACCCAGGTGCCCCAACTTCCAACCCCCTTTGTTCTCCTTTGAGCATACCTTTCCTTAGTTCTCTGGACACTTCTATGATTTTGCTAGTGCTTCCTTGTCCCAAATTGCAGTTCTCTGCTATCCCTAAATAAACCCATTTTTTTGCTGGTAAAATAACTGGCAGTTTTATTTTTAAGGTTAACAGGGTATCTCCTTTTTCCAGCATTGGCGATTATTGTGTGAGGTCGCAATGCTTGGCACAGCTGCAGCCATCCTGTAACCATGAGGAGAAGGACCAGATCTCTGAGGGTGACAGAGTAGAATCAACAGAAACGTGGTGGTTGGGGGTGGTGATGCAATTGAATCAATGAACTGACCAAACCCAGAAGGCCCAACCTTTGGACTCATTGTTTTGTGAGATGACACTTTTTTTAAGTCATTTTGAATTGAGAGTTCTGTCAATTGTAGTCAAGTGAAAGCTATCTTTGTACGTTCTGCAGGGGTAGGGCTGGAGAGTCAGAGTGGAAAGGTGAGGGAGATATGATCTAGTTAAGTGATCAAATGCTTTAATTGTAGGACCTTTGCACTCTTTTTTTAAAGATTTTATTTATCTATTTTAGAGAGAGAGGGCTTGTATGCACCAGCATGGGGAGGGGCAGAGGGGGAGAGAGAATCTCAAGCAGACTCCCCACTGAGTGAGGAGCCTGTCATGGGGCTCAATGCAGGGCTCAATCTTGTGACCCTGAGATCATGACCTGCACTGAAATCAAGAGTCGGGTGCGTAACTGACAAAGCCACCCTGGTGCCCCCCACTTTGCACTCTTAAATTACCCAGGGTTCTAAAGAATTTTTGTTTAAGTGGCATATAGCTATCAACATTTACTGTATTAGAAACTAAAATTGAGAAAGTTTAAAAAGATTCATTAATTTTTAGAACTGTTTTATGTTAACATAAGTAACTTTTTTTTTTAAAAAAAATGAAAAAGAACTAGATTTTCCAAAACAAAAAAGATTTGGTAAGGAGAGTGGCATTGTTTTTTGTTTTTGCAGATCTCCTAATGTCTTGCTTAATAGGAGGCAGCTGTATTCTCCTATCTGCTTCTGCATTCAATTTGTTCCAATAGCTCATATCATGAAGCCTCTGGAAGACTCCACTATACCAATCCTGGGGGAATGAGAGTGAGTGAGCAAATGCCATCTCAGGTTTGTATTAGTTTTCTGTGGCTGCTGTAACAAATGACCACAAACTTGGTGACATACAGCAGAAATTTATTCTTGCAGTTCTGGAGGCCACAAGCCTGACATCTAAGAGTTAGCAGGGTCATGGTGCTCCCAGAGACTCTGGGGGTGAATCTGTCCCTTGCCTCTTCCAGCTTCTGGTGGCTGTCTGTGTTCTGAGGCTTGCGGTTGAGTCATTTCAATCTCAGCCTTCATTGTCATAGCACCTGCTGTGCTGTGTTTGTCATATGACAACACTTATCATTTAATGTAGGACCCACCCAGATCATCTGGCTTATGGTCTCATCTCAAAACTCTTAGTTCCATCTGTAAAAGCCTTTTTTTCCCAAATAAGTTTCCATTCATAGTCTCTGGGAATGAGGACATGGGCCTATCTTTTTGGGCACCACGATTTATTTTTATTTTTTCATATTTATTTATCATGAGAGACAGAGAGAGGCAGAGACATAGGCAGAGGGAGAAGCAGGTTCCCTGTGGGGAGCCCAATGTAGGACTTGACCCCAGGACCCTGGGATCACAACTTGAGCCATAGGCAGATGCTCAATCACTGAGCCACCCAGACATCCCTGGGGACCACCATTTAACCCACTACAGTATTATTATAAAAATAATTCAGCCTGTGGAACCCATGAAAGAGTTTTGGGGACTCTGGGGTCACACTTTGAAAACCAGGGATCTAGTTTGATGACTTCCACACACACATAAGTAGGCAAACAATGGAAGGACTAGATATGCTTAGCCTAATAATCCAGTGAAAATAAATTTTCTAGAGAGAGTCCGAGAGGAAGGGTTCCAGCAAAGGAGAATGAGAGGTGCCCAGTGTGTGAGAGAGGACCAGGGCCAGTGGAAGACTGAAGGTTGGGGAGGAAGATGGCAGGTGAAGGGCTTCTCAGTACAGGAATGCTTAGTTTGGGGTTGTTCGCTGTGTGGCACCAGTGACCCCCTCTGCCAGCTGAAAACTGATCCAGGCTGATGTTGACCAAGCACTCTATGTGAATGATGCTGGCGGAGAGAGATGGTCAGGGGAAGTAGTGCTGGAGCTCCTGTCTGAGGCAGGGACAAGACAGGATGTGGCAGACAGGATGATGACACGACCTGTCAATGACCAGGTCACATGAGAAGGTGGAAGGTGCAGGTGACAGAGAAAACCTCAGAGCCCCCCCGCCCCCCCAGAGATTGTGAGAGATAGGGGTTCCCATCCTGGAGGCTGTGGGAGGGAGCAGCCTTGCTGATTGGTAGGCAAAAGCACATGAGCCTTGAAACTCAAAGGACAGGTACCCTTAACTAATACCCAAGTTATCTGGCTGAGTGGGACCAGGAACCGAGTAAACGGACAGGTCACACCCCTTCACAGGTGCCACTTCCCCAAGGGGCCCCTGAGGACCCCCAGAACCACTCAGGCAAGTGGATCACATTTGAAACAGATTAATCTCTCCCTGCTCATTTTACAAATGGGAAATCATAAAGAAAATGGTTGATGATCATTCATTCCATCATACAAATGCAAAAAAAACCCCAAAACAAAAACAAAACAACCAACCCTCCACAAAAACCCTACACTTTTTATGTCACAAAAATCATGTTAGGAATGGAAAAAAAAAAAACACCAAAACTGAAAATACCTGTAACATCTATGAAAGGTGAAAGGTGAGTATCTCTAATATGCAAAAATAAAGTGAGTACCCTCAGCAGAAAAATAGGCAAAAGACAAACAGGCGATTTTGAAAAGTATAGATGGCTAATACGAGGCAAGATGTTCAGTCTCACTAAAAAAAATGAAAGAAATGAACAAATGTGTATAATGAGCTATAATTTTTCACCTATCTGTTTGGCTACAACTGGCAATTAAAATAATTGATAGCATCCAGCTTTGGCAAGTGTGGAAAGAAAATTGACCCTTTGCGCTGCTGGAGGGAGAATTAATTGGTACAGTCGTATGGAGGGCAGCTAGAAAATGTGAATCAAAATGCAAAATGTGCCTGCCCTTTGACCCGGAGGTCCCACTTCTGTAAAATGGGGACAATAAGACTCCCAATTTCAGTTAATTGTGAAAAGGCTCAAGTGAGCTAAGCCATAAAAGGCATTTAACACAGTGCCTGGCAAGAAAGGGTTTGAGAAATGTTAGCTATTATTAGCAATTTATCCTAGGATATTAAGCTCCCATGTGCAAAACGATGTGTGTACAGGAGATGTTCCCTGCAGCATCGTTTTCAATAGCCGAACACTGGAAACAAATGGATTGTGCATCAAGAAAAGGAAGGAGGCAAATTCCAGGAGGTCAATGCCCTCTGCAATTGTAGGATGAACCCGGGAAAGAGCTGAAGGTCCTTGGCCAACACTGTTCTTTTGATCTGGACAGTAGTCATAGATGTGTTCGCTTTGTGAAATTTATGAAGCTGTATCCTTGTGATTCGGGCCCTTTTCTGTATATATGTTCTATTTCAATAAAGAGTAAAAAGCACCCGCCAGTACTGGAGTATGGTCTCATCTAAATAAATGCAGACATGTATGTGTATGGAAACAAGTCTAAAGGGACATTTACTCTATTGCCTACAAAGTTGTTTCTGGGTGGGAGGATTATGACTCATTTTTATTTCCCTTTGTGTGTGTATCAATATTTTCTGCTTGTCTTCAATGAGTAGGTATTACTTTTGTAATTAGGGAAAAACATGTCCAACATTAGGACTCTTGTTTGTAGGAGTCAGAAACTCAATCTTATAAAAGGAAAAAATGTAATTAATTGGCATGTGAAATTTGACAATGGATTTGGTTTCAGACCTGGAACCAGGCTCAAATGAGGTCGTGGGGAAATCGTCCCACCCCGTTTCTTAGTCCTCTTGGAGTTCACTGGCCAATAGGAAAGGTGAGAGCCAGAGGTGTCTATCCATAGGTCCAAGTAAGCAGAGCTACTATACGGGGCAGAAGAAGGAGAGGCCCAGAGGACTTCTCAGAGGAGGAAGGCATGAGGTGAGCCTTAAATGATGAGTAGGATTTTCATGGGCAGTTAGGGGAGAAAAGAGTTTCTCTGCGGAGCAAAAAGCTCTACAAAATGCTAGATGTATTGCAGCTTGAGGAGCAGCTCAGTTGGTTGCAGTATGAAGCTCATCATTAGGGACAAGAATGAAAGGTTGGTTGGAATTTGATAGGAAGGGCCTCAGTCCTAGGGAATTGGTCAACATTCTTTAGGTTCGTAGTTGCAGAAATCCTACTCCCTACCAGCAGCATCAGACCCACATCCTACTCAGCAGCTCCAGGGAAAGCAATATCTTTTCCCTATTAATGCCTGCAAAAGCTCTAGGGTGGATGATTGCTAGTTTACCCTGATTCACGTGCTCGTTCCTACACCAGTCACTGTGGCTGGAGGCATAGTGTCTTAAGGATTCAGGCCTGGCTATGTGGCCACTTTTGAAACCAGGGGCTGGTTCACACAAGCGACTTCCCACCAGTCGCTCGGGCACTAGGAACTGCAATAGGATGAAGAGGGCCTGCACTCTGGGTAGGCACAGCAGCAGCTTGTCCAATAAAGGCATGGCACTCTCCAGCAGAGGCGAGGCTGCAAGCTGCACAGAAGGAAGACGGCCTTCAGTGTATGGGGTGCACTAGGACACCAAGTTTACCCTTAGGGCTCCTCTTCCCCATGAGGCCAGGAGCTCGCTAAGGCTGGGGACACGTTCTTGTCCACGCCACCTGGCACACCATGGATCTTTATAGTATGAGGGCACTGATGGCATCCTTGGGATCCATGTAGTGACCTCTGCTTTCACCAAATCTCTGGACGTTGCAAGTGACACTGTTCAAATCGACATAAACAGGAGTGGGGAATGGTGTGGCCTCTCACATGATTACAAGCCTGTGGGAGTATTTTGCTTCAGGTATGGCTGAATTTCGTTATTTAAAAAGATGTCATCGTGTCTCTCCATCTCCCTCCTACCTTTTAAAAATACCTTCTTCAATTTGGCCTTATTCTTGGGCACACTCTCCCAATGAGGCTCTCCCAAACCCGGCCTCCGCAGCTCCAGGCTAGACATCCTACTGCCTGCCTTCATGAGCCAATACCCGGATCCCATCAATTCCATCAATTCCAGCCAGAGGCCTGCAAAGGCTGCTGCTCTTTGGCCCAGCATCCGTCATATGACCGACCCCGAGCCAATCCGTGGCTAGGGGCTGTACACTCCACTTGGCCAGCCTGCATCATCCAGAGCTGCAGGTGGCTGGGCTGTTGCCTCCAAGATATCAGTCCCTGGAATAGTGGTTGTTGTCCAAGGAAACCTAACAGGTATCTACCTGCACCAACACCACGCTTTTGGGTTTTCCTGGCCTTGGGAGCCAGTAGCTTTGAGCCCATAATTGACACCCTTATCAGAAGGACCCTGGGCTCCCAGCTCCAGAGACTCACCCTGAGTAGAACCGTGAGGGAAGGAGCAGGGGAAACTGGCCATCCCTCCCCTCTGGGGCTGCCGGTGCCGAATTTCTAACTGAGCTTCTCTTGGAAGACTGGATCACAAAGCTCTGGAAATGGATGTTTCAGATGGAAATGCAGACACACAGTTAATTACAGCATCCTGCTTGGCGCCACCCTAATTAAGGCAGTTCTCTGATGGGGGCCAAGATTTAATGCTCTCTCTTTTATAGTGCGTGGTGGCAAGAGGGCGGCCCCGTCCTCTCCCCTCCCTCTAATGCATCCTGTCTGGCTAGCCAGGGGCTGGGTGGAGAGGGCCGCCAGGCTGGCTGGCAGGCAAGCAGATGAGAAAAGCTATCTGCGCTCCATTTCAGGGTCATAGCTGCTCTCCCAGGACAGGGGACAGGGCAAGTGAGGGCGGGGGGCAGTGTGAGGGGCAGAGATGTTAATCCTAACTCCTTTTGGGAGGGCATGGGTGGGTGGGAGTATCCCCCTTCCAAGAGAAGTGTTAGGACAATCTTGGCTCTGGGGCCTTCCAGGAAGTGGGAAATGGCTCCCAGAAAGCACTGGCGACCTTGTTGGCTAGGAGCACAATCAGGTCCTGATGTCTGGCTTCATGATCTCCTCTGCAGCAAATAAAATGGGGAGGGCAGATCCACTGCCAAAAAAATAAAAAAAAAAAAAAAGATAAAATGAATTTAAAACACCAGAGAACTTCATTTGAAACCTATAGAATTTCTGTCTACTACGCACAATACTGAGTTGTCCAGTCCATTATTACAGAACTCATTGGATCACAGAGCTGGCAGGGCATAAAAATCATCTCACATTCTAGCTGAAGAAATTGAGGCCAAGATAGAAATGATTTTCCCAAGAGCCCAGAATGTGCTGGATTGGCGTAGGTGATAGCTGGCAACACGCTCTTACCTGAAGTGGCAGCGCTGAATGATGGGACAGCTAGAGGCTATGATGATATGATTCTGAGGCCTTTATCTTTCTCAGTGGGGAACAGACTCTTGATTGCTTAGTGATGCCTACCGTGGGCACTGGAGGGGGGCAGAGTGGTATATGTGCCAAGTTATTGCCACCCCAATCTAGATGTCAGGGGGATTCTCTGAGATAGGCCCTGAAAGCAGGCAATCTTGGAGGGTTCTGGCTGGATAGAGAAGTCGAAAGTCAGGACAGGTTTGCTGAGAGAGATGTGAAATCCATGAAGTGCCTCAATGAATTGCCATCAAGTCGCCATGAGGGATTTGTGGTCAGAATTGCAAAATGGGAATTTCCAAGGTGTTTCACTTTAAAAAATATTCTGATAAAGCTTGGGTTATCAGAATTGTCTCTGCAGCCCTAACTACTTCCCAGAGCTGTGAATCTTCTATACCGGTCCCTTTCCTTAAGGGAATAGGGGTCAGTAATCCAGGTGGTAGATCTCCAGACCCTTGGAAGGCCTGGGCCTTGTGTGGAGAGACAGGTCTGGGATGCTGGCCACGGAGTACAGAAGCTTGAATGGAAGGGCTGGTGCTGAAGGCCTGAGGATCAGAACACCTAGGTTCTTTCCCTGCCTCTAGTGTCACGGCTGTTTCCGGAACAAGCCTCTTTCTCTACTGAGCCTCATCTACACGATGAATGAAGTCATAGTGGGCTTATGGATTCTTTCAAGCTCTCACACTTGACCGAATGGTCTACTTTTTTAGTGTGTATGGTAAAAGGCACATAACAAAATATACCATGCAACCATGTCTCAGTGTATGGTTCTGGGGTCTTCAATACATTCACATGATTGTGCCTCCATCCCCACCAACCATGTCCAACTGCAACTCTGTTCCCATTACCCAGGAGCTCCGCATTCTCCCCTCCTGCTCCTCGTCTCCTGGAAACCACCATTCTTTCATCTCTGTGAACCTGACTACTTTCGGTGCCTCATATGAGGAGAAACCTAAAGTATTTGTCTTTTTGTGACTCACTAATTTTACCTAGCATAGGGTCTGTGTCTTCAAGTTTCATTCATGTCATAGCAGGTGTCAGAATTTCTTTTTTATTATTTATTTATTTTTTAAAGATTTTATTTATTTATTCATGAAAGACAGAGAGAGAGAGGCAGAGACAGGCAGAGAAAGAAGCAGGCTCCCTGTCGGGGGCCTGATGCGGGACTCGATCCCAGGACCTCGGGATCATGCCCTGAGCCAAAGGCAGACGCTCAACTGCTGAGCCACCCAGGTGCCCCCAGAATTTCTCTTTTAAGGTTGGCCAGTATTCCATTGGATGTATGTTCCCCATTTTGTTTATCTACTTGTCTGGGGGAAGGACACTTGGGTCCCTTCTACATTTTGCTATCGGAAATACTTCTGTTTCTGCCATGAACACGGGGGTCCAAACACCTGTTAGAGTCTCTGTGTTCATTTCTCTTGGGGATATAACCAGAAGTAGAAGTGCTGGATTGCATGGTAACTCTATGTTTCATTTTTGAGGAATTTTCATACCATCTTTCAAAACAGCTGCACTATGTTACATTGCCAATAGCAACACTCAAGTGTTCTGATTTCGCCACATTCCCACCACACTTGTTTTATTTTTTGTTTTTGTTTATGTTTTTGATAACAGCCATCCTAATGATACTACACGGTATGTCACTGTGGTTTTGATTTGCATTTCCCTAATGAATAGTGCTGTTGAACATCTTTCTGTGTGCTTTTTGGCTATTTGTATATCTTCTTTGGAGAAATGTGTATTTAAGCCTTTTACTCACTTTTAAATTGGGTCGTTTAAAAAAATAAATTAGATTGTTTACTTATTTCTAGTTTGGTTTTGATTTCCCAGAGCCCTGAAAGACAGGTACTAAGGAAGGGTGATTTTGTTCAGCTTTACTGAGGTATAATTGACAAAAAATGTAAGATATTTAAAGTGTAAAATAGGATGATTTCATGCATTTATACACTGTGAAGGGATCCCCACCATCAAGTTAATTAATATATCCATCCCCGCACATGGTTACCTCTGTGTGTGTGTGTG